ATTTCTAAAATAATGATTAGAATAAGAATGATTAGATGGTAAAAATGTTACATGTTCTTCAGCATACAAATTACATTGAAAAAAATGCCACATTTATAAATAAATAAATACGGTTTTTACATGATAAATTTTAGAAGTTATGGTGATAAATCCAAAAATGGTAATCAAGAAAACATAATGGTAGCGATATGCATGGTACCAATAGTAAAAACAATACTACAGGCTACAAGATTCATAGCCTTGGCCTCAATTGATGTCATTGCTATTTTTTGGAAAATTTTGTGAATTTGCCTCCATTAAATTTAAAACTTCCCCTTCTTCTTTGAGTATGCAGAGAGCCACCTTACCATAGAAAGGTAGTTTCTTTATATACATACACAAATACTCTCAACATAGAGAACATATATTAGAGTGAGAGAAGAGAGAGACAATGGATAACACATAACGCTAACACAAACGGTAGTACATTGCTGGACTTGTCAGCTGTTTTGACTCACTGTTGCCATTTCATTGAATGATTGCATACAACATATTCAGTTAGCACTGAAAGGGTTTTGATCCCTGAACTTTGGAGGGAGCACGCCTCAAAGACTCAAGGCCTTGCCACCAAACCAACCCGTTGGGGTTCACCGATTATGCCAATTGGTTGTGGTGCTAATGGAACTATGTTGTAATTGATCAATTCATTACATTTCTGTGATGGAAAATATGTGTGTAGAATATGAATTGAGCTCGAATATTGTCCACAATTCTAATTCCAAAAACCAAGGCTGATTGGGCTGGATTGATAACCAAAGGGAGATGGGACTTCAATTTGTTAGCCAAGATCTTGAAGATACACTTTTAGAGGGTAGGATTAGGGACTATGAAGCATGTGTACGGGTATATGTATAATATGGGTATGTTTATATGATAAAAATTAAAAAAAGTAAGGTATGGGTACGTATGGGTACGTTCGTAAAAAAATAGTTATTTTTAATTTGAATTAATGCAAAAATTAGTTAAATGGTGTAGTTTGTTAAGATCTACCCTACAATTCATCTTTAATGCCAAAAGTGAAGTCTAAACTGAAACTAAGTCTTACTATATTTATTAAATAATTTATAAGCTAATGTTTAATTTTAAAATCATGCTGAGCATAAAAAAGTAAGTCCAATGAGACTAACTTTACCTTTGTATAGAAGAAAATACTATTCCAGCTTATGGCGTGGGAATATACTTGGTGTCTAGGGTAAGCCAAAAATTAAGAAGAAAAAAATTTGCATACGTGTTTCGTATACCTTGTGCGTATGCAGAAATACCATGCAAAGTATCAGTACCCATTACCAGTACGACATGTTCGTCGAAGTATCCATGCTTCATAGAGTAGGGACCTCAAGAACCAAGCGGTGAGAGTAGAGTTCATTTCTTTCAAGAGAGCACCAGAATTAAGAAAAAGAAAAGAAAGATGTAATAGAGGAAAGCAGATCCTTAAATTGACAGGCCAAGCTTTCTTGAAGAACATGGCATTTTATGGTCATCGAGGCCAGGAGCTTTCCCATCTTTGAGAGAACAAGGTTTCTCTAATCCCTTCAACAGTAACGTCCTTGTTTCGTTTCTGAGCATCATTTAATTGATCACTATAGCACAAGTTCATGTCTACTATGCATCCCGTAGTACCACCTCCCTTATGGCCTAGCAAGTTCTGAAAATAAGTAATGATCATCTTAGCATTTCCTTGGCATCAGTAATAGACACTCAAGACTTTAGGGTTACTGTCAAGACTTTTCTTGACTGCTTCCAATTGAGATCTTACTTCCTCCAGTCCACCTTTTTTGTGATGTCACTATAGTTAGATTGGCACAGCTTCTTCAACTCAACTTTGCATTTTCAACTTCGGGCAGGCAGAACATGGGAGTGCCCTGAACATGATTTCTCCAAACCCTGGCAACAAGATTCAAGAATTCAGGGTGGTCAGCCCAACAATAAAAAAATTTGAAGGGCTTATTTTGCTTAATAGGGGCAGACAGCACTTTAACCAAGATAGGGCTGTGGTCAGATATTCCTGCAGTTAGAAATTCTGCCTCATTTCATGGTCCAAGCCTCATTGATGAGAGGTTTATCAATCTCTCGAAGCACCTGACCATTTGTCAGTCATTGCAGTCATGCATGTACCTGGTCCATTTAACAGAGCCCCACAGACCATGGCTGCTGGTTGAATAGCCCAGCCATAGCTTCAATGTCCAGTCTGTTTTGGGGAGCGTTATCACCATACATGGCAGAAACTTCGCAGTCCATTTTCTTCTGGCACTAACATGAATAGCCTGGTCATTTGTACTAATGCACATTACATTCAGCATATCTTGATTCCATAGGATCCATATCCTTTACAAAGTGGATCATTGTAATTGGACAACATTCCCCAGCTTCCATTCATAGATTCGAAGACCATATCCTTATTAACACTTCTGACTTTATTTCCCAAGAGCCCGAAATAAAGATACATTTTATTCCCTTGAATAATATGATCCTTGATTTCCTTCTAATGTATAGGGAAATTAAGGAAGCCCCCTTTCATTTTAAGCCTTCCCCACTTTTTATTTTTTATCTGGATTAGATGGGCTTGGGGTCCTGTTCTTAGCTTCCTCTATCTCCAGGTTGTCAAAAGTATTTGATGAACTCCATAGCTGTTTGAGTTGCCCCCCATAAAGGATGGTATCACCTGTATGGTACATATAGGTCGGTCTTGATCAACACCTACCTCATGATAATGTTCCCCATTTAACGAATTGCCCATATCCTGGGTAATTTTTGTCCTTGCTCCGACGGTTGCTCTTTATTCTGGAAAATAGGTCACTTTGCCCACATTTTGGGCATTAAGATCATCATTGGCTGTGGGCACCCATTGGTACATTTTTATCCCTTTCCATTGTCCAGGTCCAAATTGATGTTATTACCATTTTTTAAAAAAATTTTGTGAATTTACTTCCATTATTAAATTCAAAACATTTCTTTTCTTGAGATATGCGGAGAGCCACTTTACCATAGAAAGGTAGTTCATGTATATATACATACACAAAAATATTCACAACATAGAGAACTTAATGAGAGTTTATAGAAGCTTCACTGCTTCAGCTCTGGAAGAGAAAGACGATGGCTAACTCTTAACACAAACGGCAGTACATTACTGATTTTTTGTTGTTTTGACTCACTCTGGCCATTTCATTGAATGATTGCATACAACATATTAGGGTAATCTCTTCCAGTTCATGGCGAAGTGCTGGCCACTGATTATGCCTAGTGGTTGTGGTGACACTGGACTTGTTTGGTAATTGATCGATTCAATATCAATACATTTCTATGACAGAAATATGTGTAGAATATGAATCGAGCTCAAATAGATATGTTGAAAAGTAAAGAGAATGTGAATAATTAATTTATGTGGTACTATAAGCATGTTGATTGTTTGTTGACAATTAATTTATAGTTTTCTAGCACTAATAATACTTTTTTGTCTTTTTTCTTCAGCACATCCATATATTATTTATGGTTTCAAATGGATCATTTTTTATTTTTTAGTTTTTTGGATAAATGGTTTCAAATGGATCGTTGTTTCATGTTAATGCATTGCTTTTTTGAGCCTATGCTTCAGATTCTTAACATGTATGCATTTTAATTACACAATGCAACTTTAAATTGTTTTTTGTCTTCCTTCTTTTCATCGGTATGCCGAGTTTAGCTGAAGCTTCTAATAGTTTTCTTTTAATTTCATTTTTGGCGGGATACACAGATTATCATTGATTCTATACCTCCTTGGATATGCATCCGAATCGCAAAATTGCAAATGATTACATCAACAGTTTTTTGAGATGTTAAGTGAATATTATTTATATTTTATTTGTTATTTTTTTAACAAAATTTGTTATTCTTTAACTTTTTTTTAATTCATCTTCATATAATAAATATATTTAAAAAAATAACAATTTAAGGTATCTCCGTACCCGTATCCAAATTTAGATCCATATCCACGTATCCTCAATTTTTAATTTTGAAGTGTCATATCCAAATTTAGATCCATATCCACGTATCCCCAATTTTTAATTTTGAAGTGTCTAACCATTAGATACGCACCCGCACCTGAGTCCGTGTATCATAGGTTTCGACTCACTGTGGCCATTTTATTGAATGATTGCATACACCATATTCGGGTAATCTCTTCTAGTTCATGGCAAAGTGCTGGCCACTGATTATGCCTAGTGGTTGTGGTGCTAATGGACTTGTGTGATAATTGATTGTTTCAATATCAATACATTCTGTGACAGAAATATGTGTGTAGAATATGAATCGAGTTCAAATATTGACCGCAATTCTTTTTCCAGAACAATGTCTGATTGGGCTAGATCAATAACAGAAGGGAGGAGGAACATCAATCTATTAGGGAAGATACACTTATAGAGGGTGTGATTAGGGACCTTAGGAACCAAGTGATGAGAGTAGAGTTCACCTCTTTGAAGATAGCACCAGAACTGAGAAAAAGAAAAGAAAGATGTAATAGAAGAAATCACATCCTTATAAATGATAGGCAAAGCTTTCTTGAAGAACATGGAATTATAGCCATTGAGGTCAGGAGCTTTCCCATCTTTGACAGAGAATGAGCTAAGTGTGTGAATGGCTAATTCATGTGCTACTATAAGCACATTGTTTTTTTTGTTGACAAATAATTTATAGTTTTCTAGCACTAATGATACTTTTTTGTCTTTTTTCTTCGGCACATCCATATTATTTATGGTTTCAAATGGATCATTTTTATTTTTTTTGGGGATAAATATGGATCATTGTTTCATGTTAATGCAATGCCCTGCATTGCCTTTTTGATCTTATGCTTCAGATTCTTAACATGTATGCATTTTATTTACACAATGCAACTTCAAATTGTTTTTTGTCTTCCTTTTCGTTGGTTTCAACAATGCTGAGTTTAGTTGAAGCTTCTAATATTTTTCTTTTAATTTCATTTTTGGCAGGATACACAGATTATCATTAATTCTATACCTCCTTGGATATGCATCCGAATCACAAAATTGCAAATGATTACATCAACAGTTTTTTGAGATGTTAAGTGAACAGTCCCAGCCTCACAGGGCAATTATTTTTATTTTATCTATCCATAGTTGATCAAGCAAATAGGGATGTTTTATATTTCTACTAGTATAGTATTTGAAGTTTTATTGTTCTTGACCGTGTGTCCCATATAGAAAGAAGAAAAGTAGATGACCACCGCATGTTGAACAATATCCTGAACTGATATTAGGAAACCAAAGGAAGAAAGTATTAAAAACAAAAATAAATAAGCTGAGTCATTATGTAATCAGAAGATAAAACTTTAGATCTGAGTAGCTTTAAGTGCAATTAGAAAGAGTTCATTATGAGTATTTTAATTTTCATTTTCAGTCTTTCTTGCATGCTTGTATGTATGTATGTGTCTATATATATTGTGGTGAAGAACTATTGTATACTATAACTTCAATGCAGAACATTTACACAATTTCTCGAGTGTAACTTGTTTTAATAACGTAATGTTTACTTCATTCTTAAAAATCATTTGTTTGTATTACTTGTTAATAAGTATCTCTAGTTGGTGTTCCATTTATACCAACCAGGAATTCAAGTTTATTTGTGGTGTATGTATCTACTGATGTTATGCTACTGTCAGCTTTCCTTCCCATTCTTACTCTTATTGTTATAAGTTGAAGATAAAACCTTCCTCATTTATTTTTATTTGGAACAGATAGACCTGGGGTCTTGTTATTAGCTTCCTACATCTCCAGGTTGTCAAAAGTATTTGCTAGACTTCATAGTTGTTTGTTTGAATCGCCTGGTATCACCTGTATGGTATAGATAGGTTGGTCTTGATCAAAACCTACCTTATGATAATGTTCCCCATTTAACTAATTGGCCACATCCTAGGTTGAGTTTTGATGTTGCTCCAATGGTTGCTCTTTATTCTTGGAATTAGATCATCTTTGCCCACATTTTGGGCATTATGATCATCAATGGCTGTGGCCTCCCCTGTGGCTTCTGTACGTGCCTCCAGTTTACTTTTGGTTTCTTTCCCCAGTCATTCCTGAGTACAGCATAAACGAAAGACTGGTTGAGCACCCGTTGGTACACTTAAACCCCTTCAAAATTCTCAATCCTGTTGTCGAGGTGAAAGTTTTCCACCAGTTCGCTACCCACTTCAATCTCAACACAGATTTTGGTAAAAGTAATTCTCTTTTTTGATTCAGCTAGAATTTGCATAATGCTTGCAATGTGGCTTAACCCTTGCTCATTCCAATAGTAGAAGACGACGTTGAAGAATTTAGCCCAGCGAGGAAATTTTATTAGACTTTCCTTCCACAAGTCAAGTCTGTAGTCCCACCACTTTAGGACCATTAGCTTGCCTCCAAAATGCTATGGCTTCCCTTCCAAAACTGAATCAAAAGAAGAAGAATTTCATTAGACATAACATGAATCAGTCCACTCTACCCCCATAGTTTTTGGCAATAGAGTTAACAACAAAAAGATAACTTCTTATCAATAAAGTAACCACTCTTCCCCCATAGTTTTTCAGCAATAGAGTCAACAACAAAAGCATAACTTCTTATTAACAAAGTAACCCACTAGGCAACCATTCCATCCATCTACCTAGACACATGGCGGTGGAGTAACCTTATTTTCCCCATACTCCATGGATGCAAAATATTCTAGATTTATCTTAGCCACCCATCCTCTGACATGGTTTCAGACCTGAAAATGTTGAGATGGGTGCGTAAAAGTTGATACAACTTCAAATGAATAAATTCTGAAAGAGACAACACCAATTTGTATGCTAAATGTGAAAATTGTCTGAATTGTATAATGGGTTACCTATAGGGCCATAGTCTAAACAAACGACTGCACTATGTTGTACCATATGTTGAATAAAATCAAGACTAATAACTTGCAACTTGAGAGTAGGTTGAAGCAATAACTGAACACTAACACTGTGTTTGGATCATCGATTTAGGTTGGGATTTGGAAAGGAAAAAGAAAATGCGAGGGAAATGAATAAAAAATTTAACTTATATTTTATTCACATTTCCCTCACATTTTTGTTCTCCTTTCCAAATTCTTACGCAAATTCATGATCCAAACACAACATAAGAGTTGAGGTTGCAAGTGCTCGCATATTTGTTTTGATCACATAGAAAACAAAACAGCCATAAAAGTGTTTTCTGTAATCAACATTGGTGAACAAGTGGTTGCTTTAGATGCTTGTATTGGAGTACTGATCGTATATTTTGGTTATTCATAGGTGTGGTTGAAGATTTCATGGAGGTAATATGCACATGGAGGCCCAGTGCGCCGTTGGAAGTGTGTTACTATGAACAAAATGAATCTAATATTAGAATCTTTGTGCATTTGGTGGATATTGACTAATATTCTTAACTGATATCTAAACTAATATTTATAGAACAATGTCATCGTATGATCTGTTCTATTATTGAAATGAATGACATAACAACTAAAGCAGATTGCATGTCTAAGTTATATTTTACTTTAAACATGTAAAAGAACGTAATTTGAAAGCACCCTAGACGTTGGAGATGCCGGATATGCATGTTGTTGAATCGGAAAGTGTGCGAGGTGTCTAGAAATTGTTTTCATGTGATGGAAGGCTGGTGTCAAACTGATTGACGTCTATTTATTGTGTCTATGACTTGTTTGGTGTTTTGTTTCTCACATGAATTTAAAATGGGGTTTCTGCTTAATGACATTAACAAAATCATTGAATTCATCTGTGTATTTTGTTGATATAGTGCATTGATTGAGAATCAGACCCTAGGCTGAGTTGGTGGAAGTGTAACTATTAGGTGCATAGTGCTTTCCTGTCTTCAATAGTCAATACCACCACCACCTAGGACTAGGCATAGGATTATTTGACCCGAGAAATTGCCCAAAAAGAATATTTAAAAAATGTGGAAAAGAAACTCGAAAATAAATTTTTAAAGGAAAAATCAAATCTGCAAACAGAGCGCACATTCGCAAATCTTATACGCATAAATTGCAATATGAACTGCGGGTGGTTGGGGTTTTAATTTTTTCCAAATTGTAAATATGCAGGCGGGTTTAAACAGCAAATTGAACCGTCGTGAACACTCCTACCACCAAGCAGTTTACTACACTTCCTGATCCCCATCTTGCTTTGCCTTGAGGGCCCAAGTTTACCTTTTGATCCATCAAGATGTCATCATGAAAAGGTTTTTAGTGTTTGGAGCATTTGGAGGCTCATGAGAGGAGTCCTATGACACCAGGTCCTAGAGGGATTCTGGTGAATATGTTGGAATGGTGGAAACCATTCGGTAGAATTTGCTTTGTGTTTACATGCCTCGCATATCATCACATTCCACAGCCAATGTCTTGGTGGCCCATCATACAAACTAGGTGATTTTGCGAATCATGTCACTTACTAGTTGTAACCCTCCCCAAGTTACGAAAATAACTTTGTTCACTTATTGTTTTAGTGTATGAACAATACATAAAATATGAGTGGCCCAAATATGTGGATTTCATACTCAAAATATGTAATGACGTCACCTAAAATGGTAGGCCTAATTATTCTATATCAATTAAAATGTGTGAAAATAATGGGAATTACAAGTCACCATCTCTTCAGTTAGATACTTGGATAAATTTTGTTCGATCTCATACTCCACATGATGGTTGTTTCTATGTCAAATGATGTACAATCATTGGGTAAAACTAATTGAGACTCAGGCATATAGTATACTTTCCATTGTATGGGTAGAAAATGAAGAGGAATCATAATTGAGACTCAAGCATACAGTATACTGGGTAGAAAATGATGAGGAATCATCTTTGGTGATAGTGCCCCAAAATGTTGCAGCTCCTTCTGCAATATGGTTTTCTGCTCTTTGCTTGGCTTAGTAAACTCTTCGCCGATCCGTGGAATAGAGTGCTAGTACATCAACATGCATATGCCAACTGATCATTTCTTTGAAATTCAGTATTGGGTTAATTGACGGACGATGGGAAATAGTGGGATTATGAGAATGGAATCTATCTTTGAAAATATGGAATGGGAACATAGCGGTTATAAAATGGATCTTTCTAACCTTATCAGAGAGGGGCCCCTAGGAGCGGGGCTTATTTATAAAATAGGAGCGCAAAAGCGGGCGAGCCAAAGAGGCTTTCCCGCACCCGAATCCCTTTGTTTACTGCTTTCGAGTCTTGCTTTGAGGCGCACTCGATCAACAATTCATTTCCATGTGAGCCAGTGAAGCACCCATTAAGAGACCGACCAAAGACGCCGCCAGATAACCCATAACTATGGCTGCTAGGTGTGCTGCTCCTTCTGATGAAGTAGTGCTACTCTGATTAAGCACCTCGGCGGGAACATTATTCCGCGGATCCAGCAAATAATTGCACACATCCTCCGCTATTAGTTCCGCTATGACTGGTGGAATCTCATGACAACTCATATAGAAGATAACTCTTTCTTGGAGGACTTCCATAGACGGAGCGTTTAGAAAGAGAGTGGGATAGGCCTCCAAATGAGCAGCTGCAGAGCTTATGGACAAGAAAAAGAAGAGGTAACTCCCATGGTCCATTAGTTCCTGCTAGAGCCAAGGCCAGGACTGAATGCGTGCCACCTTCTCTTTCTTTTTAAAATATCAACTTCTCTTTCTACATCTGCTATTATCCGAGTTTCCTATGCCGGTGTAGGCTTTCGATGTAAAGGTCTGTTAAACCTATGCTAGGCATAGAGGTTATTGACAACTTTCTTTCGGCGGGGATCTATAGTTGATTTAAGAGCTCTAGCTTATAAGGCTTGTTTTGTGTCCAAGGCAAGGGTACTGACTGCAAGGGGAATAGTAAGAAGACTTGTCGGGAACTTGTCGAAAAGAGGGTTCAGCAACAAGCCTGAAAGAGATTATACGTCCATTCTAGTCTAGCCTATCCTCCTAATCTTTAATAAAGTGTGCTATCCTCATCTTCAATAAAGCTTGCTTTCCGCTTCCTTTCTTTCCGACTTCTAATCTCTGGTTTTCCGGAAAGCCCCTCTTATCATTCTTTTTCCAGCAGTGGTAGCTAAGTCTATCTCCTACCTATGTGAGAAGAGTAAGCAAGCTACCTTGGACTGAGCCTCAGGCTAGTTCAGTTTCGGCTCCTAGGTCTATGTGTAGAGAAAGGCGCTCAGTAGTTACGTCAGCTATTGGTTCGCGCAAGTAGTTCCCCTCCGGCTAGTTCATCCCGGTAAGCAACGTCTACTGCACGGGGAGTGGTGAGGGCGAGGGCAAAGGGAAAGTCTAAAGAGAAAACCTAGTCGCTAGGGAAGATAGGCCTCTTGTTCGAACGAATGAGATTCTCGATTTGTCAAGAAGTGAGATTTCCTCGTTCTAGTTCTGACTATTTCTATGTTCAATGAAGTTCTCCCTGTTGGTCGAAGGAATGCCAGGGATTGTTGAGTACTGCCCGCTGCGAGTAGTTCTCCTCAGGCTA